AAGTTTTAGTTATTAAAAAATGATTAAAACTAAATGATTTTTAAAAGATTTTATAAAATTTTGTAGGTTTTAAGTTTTGTTGAATTTTTACCAAAGCAATAATTTTTCTTAAAACTGTAAAATATTTAGAGGGTATATAATTTTTAAGATGTATCCTGCCTATTTTTATCAATAAAATAATGTGCGTTTGAGTTTTAATGCAAAATATTATTAGTTTTGATAATTTAAGTTATATTTTATAATTTTACTATAGGGTGACCTTTATTACTTTATAAGTACCATTTTGTAAAATATAAATTAAAAGAACAAAGAAATTACGAATGTCAATGTTTTTGAAAGAGATAGCAAACAGTTAGTAATTATAACGTTATTTTTACGTAAATTTGTGGTATTTATGTTGTTTTTATTACGATATTCTCTTAGTAGATCAAGAAGGTTATTATGTAGGTAAAATAACGAAATAAACCATTCCCCAAATTTGGTAATTTTTCGTATCTATACCGTTATAAAACCGTTTTGATTAACCGTAAAAAATATAGTCCGGGAGGCAGTGAAGATTTTCGGTACTTATTTTCCCAGTTTGTGAATGTCATTAAGTTTGTTCAAATGGTGACACAAAACGACAATTTGTGTGTCTGGCTAAAATTTTCGGATGGGTTCACTAGATGAGCCAAAAAGTCAAGTCCACTTATTTTTCCAGTCATAAATATTTCACATTAATTAAAGTGAGTCATTTTATTAATGGAAATAACAGTCTGGCACATCCCAAGTGAAGGAAAGTCAGTCTGGCTGAAAATTTGCGGAAGCAAAAATTTGACCGGTTTTTGAAATACGTAGCCCTTATTTTCCCATGCTTAAAATTTAACCCATTATTTGGTACTGTCATAAACTATAATCAAAATTAAGTCTGGCTGATTTATGAAATTGGCAAATTGTTCTGGCGGCATCTTGAAAATCGTAAGAATTACAAAAATTTTGCTCTCATTTTCCCGGATTTGAAAATTTGTCACATGATAAATAATACTATAATTTCGTAGAAAATACACGTCTGGCTGTTATTTACAATCACGAAAGCCCCGCCAGACTCCCAAGTCAGATAGCAGAAACTCGCGTTTGAATGGGAATTTTCGCGATTTTCTTTTTTTTTATTGATATAACTCAAAAACTAAGGGAGATACAAAAGACTGTCAAGAGATCGATTTTGTAGATAATCCTACAAAAAACAACTGCACAAATTTTCTCGTATCTCTGATAGTTACAAAGTTATTCGCGAATAAAGTTTTTTGGTGGCGGACGGACTGACATTTTTTTTAGCCATATTTAAATTTTGCTTTACACAAATTATTTTCTTATCATACATTATGAAAAGTAAAAACATGTAGAGATGACAACAATCGCCTGTATAATTGAACATGCCGAATTTAGCGCGCCTGTGGAGGGTTGGACGAGTCTGGCAAGGCTTTCGGAGTGTTCCACATTAGCCAGACTATATTTGCAGCTGTAATTATAATATAAACTATCATCTCAAAAAATTTTTAGGACTGCGAAAATAAGGGCAATGGTTTTGATAATTTTTCCACCTGCCAGACATATTACCCATACTCACAGATTAGCCAGACTATTTTTTTTCTTAAGTTCACTATATCTCTCACTATTGGAATTATTTTTATCACTGGAAAAAAAAGTGCAATATATTTGTACTTTATAACGCATTTTCCGCCTTAACCCATCGGAAAACCCCCCCCTAAATATATATAAATTTTGCTCAGAATAACAAACCCAATAATTGTATCGGTGTTTGCCGACTGGGAAAATAAGTACCGAAAATCTTCACTGCCTCCCGGACTAATACTTTAAAGTAGACTTAGTAGTAAAGTTGTAGTTATTTAAACTTAAAATGCTGCTTGGGTTATATTATAGGGTCATTCCACGTTACTCGGGGATTTGTGTCCCGCCCGTCACAATTAAAAATTGTGAGTAAAAACTACACGTTATAAAATTTATTTAAAAATATTATTTTATTATGCTTTTAACTCGGCTTTTAATAAGTTATAAGCACAATAAAAATAATATTACAAAATATTAATTTTAAAACTTGTGTTCTTTACTCACAATTTTTAATTGTGACGGGCGGGACAAAAATTACCGAGTAACGTGGAATGCCCCTATAGTTTTTAAGACCAAATCAAAACAAACCCCGACGTGTGATCGCCGCATAGCGCGTGACTATATTTACATTTACTTAATGTCATTTAAGTCTAACCTTGTTTGGAAACATACAAAATGGAACCAATCTTAAAAAAACTTAAATATGAAAGAAAACCATTTGAAAAAAAACAGTGTAAAAAACCTGAAAAAAAATACAAAAAAACGGATCTTTTTTTCAAGTCACATCTTTAATACCGAGTCTAATACCTAATAATTAATAGTATATTATGTATCAAGTTTGATAAACGCCATTTTATACACGAATTTAATTGAGGCACGAGCGAGCTTGCGAGCGAGTGCTTAAGTTAATGAGTGTATAGAAAAGTTTATAAACGAGGTGCATACTATACTTTTTCTACGACAAATACTTATTATTATCTGAAAATGATTTAAATCAAAAATTTGTATAGAGCGCCATCTATGAAACAACAGGGGAAACTGTCAAATGTTACATTTTTACATTTTATAAACACAATTATAAAGGTTATAAATCGAAATGTATCTAGAAAATTGACAGTTTTTCACAGTGAAAGTAAAGGAAATGTTTTATGAGGACTTTACAGTAGAGTCTGTGCCCGAATTTAAGTTATAGTTTACTGCCGGCGAAATTAAAAGGTCAGTACAATGTTTATATAAACTTTTCAAATATTGGCGTTGAGAAACTATTTAATATTTTTGTATTTTTGTATTGAGATAATAAAATAATGTTCACATTTAGTATTATTTTACAAGGAAGGCACTTTATTTTAACGATTGTATGACATTTGACAACTGTCAACTAACTTAAAACTAACTTCAGCCCGTGACTAAAAACCTGTTGCTAACTTCAGCCCGTGACTAAAGCGTCGTAAAGCCACAACTTGTCAATGTGTATTTAAAAGGTCACTTAGTGTTATGGAAACATGTACAATACCTATGCAATTCGATTTATAAAATTCTCATGATACTAGTTTTTAATACTGATTTTCAGATTTGAAAAAAACATGAAAAAACCGTGTTTTTTTCTCAAATCTGCCACAATTAAAATTAAAGCATATTCTGTCAATAAATAACCTCAATCTTAAAAAAATATTTTTTCAATATGAAATTTTAAGCAAAATGTATATTAATAAAGTGAAATTTAGAATATATACATATTTCATTATTGAAAATTTTGACTGAAATTTAAAAAAATTATTTCTTTTTATTTGGTAGTTAGGAAGTAACTTTATTTTAAGACCAAATCTAAACAAACCCTGACGCGTGATCGCCGCAGGTGGTAGCTCGTGCATAGCGCGTGACTATATTTACATTTACTTAATGCCATTTAGTTGCTAAATTCAAGTCCAGACTTGTTTGAAAACGTAAAAAATGGAACCAATTTTAAAAAAACTTAAATATGAAAGAAAACAGTGTAAAAAACCTAAAAAAAAATACAAAAAAACGGATCTTTTTTTCAACTCACATCTCTATAGAGTATTATAATACCTAATAATTAAATATTTTTTACTCAACATTTTATTATTTTCAAAGTAACACGAAGTGGTAATCCACGGGGAAAGCCATTTTTAAAATATTCACATACAACTGTTTGAGGCTGGATATAACTAGGGTTGGGACAGTTGAAAATTTCAACTTTGAAAGTTTCAAACTTGAAATATATCCGAGCCATTTTTAAAATATTCACATACAACTGTTTGAGGCTGGATATAACTAGGGTTGGGACAGTTGAAATTTTCAAATGAAAATTTCAACTTTGAAAGTTTCAAACTTGAAATATTTCCTCGAATATTTCATTTAGTTGGAAAAGCGAAATTTTTAAAAATTTCAAATGAAATTTTCAATTCGAAAATTTCAACATTGCCTGTGAAACTTTCAGAAATTTCATTGAAAGTTTCGCAATTTACTGAAAATTTCGAATAAATTTCACATGCGTCCTCCCCTGGGACCTTTAATAATAATTTACAACAGATTCCGACCAATAAGAACGAGTTATCAAGCGTCTGGGCGTTTTTGTTTAGTTCGGCTTGGATTTGAATACACTATGAGAAATTATTGTTACTTATATGCATAAATTAATTTAAATAATTTAATTCAGTTACCAATTTAATTTGTAAATTAAATCAGACTTTAAATTTTTTTTAAAAGTCATGATTAATTTAAACCTCTACTTTTGCTATAATTGCATCGGAAAACGGATAAAAAATGCCTTTGGCTCATAAAATTTTGATGAAGTTTCTTCAATTTTTGTAAAATTTTAGTAAAATATATAAAAATAATAAATACCTATATAAATATAAAACAATGAAAGTTGCACAATCTCATTAGCTTACCAAAAAGTGCTATTTCTCTCTTAGTTTTAGTAATTTTAAAAATATTTTAAAAGGAAATCCTAAGAAATTTGTGGTAAACATACATAGGTATTTACTATTTATATTATTGGTGCAGGGGCCAACAGAGGGGTAGGAGGTAAGAGAGGCAATTTGCCATGGTGACCGAGTGGGCTTATTTCAATATTAATATATTACAATTAAAGTAATTAAAATTTATTGAAAGTTTCAATAAATTTCATGAAATTTCAGACATTTAGGAAATTTTAATAAATTTCATAAATGTCGTGAAAATTTCAAGTGAAATTTCAAGTACAAGCAAAAAATGAAATTTTCCCAACCCTAGATATAACTATAACTACGAACTTAAGATAGATAAAACTGTCTTAATTATGTTCATTTAGGGAGTTTTAGGACATCTTCTGGATGTACCGACGAAAAAGTAGCATATTTCCCCCATTTCACTCGAAAGTTTAATTTCAGGTCATCCCGCCCCCGGAATGGGTTCCCCGCAAGCACGGCTACGACATCGAAAACCTGAACGTCACCATCCCCGCACCCATTTGCCAGGTCGTCACCGGCAAGCAGGGCCTCTATCAGCAAATAAACATACAGAAGAAGGCGATGACGGTGCAACAGTACCGCGATCTCGCAAACTCCGAGCGGTACGCCACCCCCCGCCATTTCGATTACGAGGATCTGGAGCGCAAGTACTGGAAGAATATCACGTATGTCGCGCCGATTTACGGCGCAGACGTGAGCGGAAGTCTGACCGATACGGATGTTAACGTAAGTAAAAAATAAATTTAAAAAAACGATGAGGGTACCAAGTTCCCTCATCGGTTTTTTATCTAAATTATTCTAAGTACCCGTTGAAAGTTTTTCTTTGTTGGTGTTACTGAAAAAAAAATATTCCGCATACCTACAAATACTTTATTTAAGTAGGAAAAATGAAAAAATGATCTAAGAAAGATATTTATTAAAGGTTTGATTAAAAAACATTAGGTACATAGTTTTGATGATTTTGAAATTTAAAAATTTGTGGAAATTATGAAAATTAAGGAATTTTTATAAAATTTAACATCCTAATTTCACTGTAGGAAGGTGAAAATATCACAGCTAAACACTCGGACACAGACGTAGATTACAAATCCGTGCTTGGTTTAGCTGTATCAGGTCAAAATTCAAAGATATTAAAAACACCCTTTATAAATTCAAACACCCTGTGTAGAATTTAAAAAAAAATTAATTTGGCTGGAGCCACACATCCAAATTAAAAAAAAAACAGTCTTGCAAAATTTGAAGTAAATTGATCAAAAGGAATACGTGTCCCTGAGCGTTTTTCTTAAGTAATATCATAAGGGCATTTAATTTTTCCGAAAAAAAATCAAAAAAACGCGTTGCTAAGTAATATTTTAACAAAAAGCATGAGTGCTGGTGGCAACAAAAATCCGAGTCGAAGAGGAGGATGTTTGCACCTGCACGAATGCATTTTGTTAAAAAATATTACTTAGCTTTGTGTTTTTTCGATTTTTTTCTCAGGAAAAATTAAACGCCCGAATGGTATTTGACAAGAATATTTCATGAGTAACAGTTAACAATTAAAATATAAATTGCAATTTTTGGTGACAACAGCCGTCAAGTTTTGCCGCGGGTAAACTAAAAACTGCTGACAGGTGCTGTCACACAGTTTTTTCACCTAGAAACCATTTGTAATTCAAAATTGCGCGTTTGTGATTGGTGGAAATTAAGACGAGGGAAATAGTCTTAGATAATTTAGGAAATTCAAAATGTTTTTTGCTGATTTTTTTTTATTGGGCATAATTGAGGATATTATATTAAACGAAATAAAAATCATGGGAATGTTGGCACAAGAGATGAAATATATTATTTTAAAAATTATAATATACCAGTATACATTGTGTCTCCGGATCTGATTGCCAATAGGAAAAACTTTTTTGATGTACAGGGTGATTCCCTATAATGTCGCCCCCCTTTATCTTTTTTATTTTAAGTGTCCCGAAAAATTTAAAAGTGTGGTTATGTAGGTACTAAAAAATACTTTTTTTCTATGTATATAAAAAAATGGAAATTTGATCAGTATACATGGAAAAACAAAAAGTTTATTTTTTTTCAATGGATCACCCTATATATGAATTTAGTTTTCGATTCCTTGTAAAATTGTAAAATTCTGAGCATAATTCATATAACAACTCAACCGTTTCTGAAATATTCGCATTCGAAATGTTATCATTAAATGTTTTTTTAAACTTTTAGAAATCAAGAAGCCTCAGTATACCAAATTTTTTATTGAAAATAAATTACTATAGTGATATTATGTCAATATGTCTTGTTAAATAATAAGTAAAAATGGCGTACTCAGACAGAGAAAGAAACTATTTCAAATTATTATCTTAAAAATAATTTAAATATTTCAGAAACAGTTGAATTTAGGTATATGGTATATTATATGAAATATGCTTAGAATTTTACAAGGAATCGAAAAATAAATACATATATAGGGTGATCCATTGAAAAAAAAATAAACTTTTTGTTTTTCCATGTATACTGATCAATTTTCCAATTCTCTTTATACGTAGAAAAAAAGTATTTTTTAGTACCTACATAACCACACTTTTAAATTTTTTGGGACACTTAAAATAAAAAAGTTTAAGGGGGGCGACATTATAGGGGATCACCCTGTACATGCCAAAGTAAGAAAGGCATTAGTGCCATTTTTTATAATAAAAAAACCATTAAAATTTTTATAAGTAAGGTAGAAATTTTGGGCCGCCACTGGTTATTCCTGACCTATGACAACTGACAAAAAATATGCTTGCACAGTGGGCAATAATCTACATTCATTAAAAATTTACGTCTGTGTTATCATTGATTGATTACTTTGTTAATAATTGTTTTTTGTTTTGCATACTCAGCTATTTTTAGGTGCTTTGAATAAAACAATACTTCCTTTTTATTGTTAAGTATCTCGAGGTTTCCGTGGTTTTCCTGTCGATTTTTAATTTCACCTTTCACTTTTTACATTGATTGATGCTCATGTAGCTATTTTTTTTAAGTGTTCCACAAAATCATTATAAATGTTCAACTATCCAGCCGTTATTATCCACACAAAGTGATTGTGAGTTATCAATTATTTCAGAAACGGTTAGTGTTAAAATTATTGTTGTAAATCTTCTTCTTCTTCCTTGGTGGCCTAAGGCCTTAATGGTCTCGGTTTCAATGAACCACTTGGACCAGCAACAAGTTTTAATGTCCATGCGCTTCACGAAGCCATCCACCCATAGACATGTGAATTTTCCAAATATTGGATCATCCACTCCATGTGTTGTACAATTCACAAAATACCTCGCTAGGAGGTCAAAGCTTGCGATATTGTCCAAAAATACAGGTATATTTCTATACCCGGAATTCCATTTTGTCCCTCCTGGGTCAAAGTCAGCTATGTTTCAGACTTTTCATCGAGCAATGACCCAGAGATGAAAGTACGATGCACCACACACGAAAGACAAAATCGAATCCATTGTTGTAAATGCTTGTGAATCCATAAAAAATAAACCTGGATTTTTCGAAAACATTAGATCTATGCCCGTTAGGAGATGTGTAGAAGAGAACGGCGGTCATTTTGACCATTTAACAAAATAGGAATGGTTGAAATTTGGAAACAAATTGCCTTATTGTTGTAATGCATTTACTGTGTTTAATAACTAGAATAAATTCATAAATTTATGAATTTTTGTATCGAGACATTTTTAGTAGCGTTTTTCTTGAAAAGTTTTGGCTTCATGACTTTGCAACAAGAGCAGCTTTTTCACGAAAAATTATCTGGAGAATTGTATTTCAAGATCGATAATTATCGATCTTGAAATACAATTCTCCAGATAATTTTAATTATAATTAAACAAAACCCCACAAAAAAGTTTTTCCTTGTTTCTTACGCCTATGTTCATCATTTATCCGATTTTGCACCACCAGATGATTTCTTGCCCATAAATAAAACATCACTATTTTCGCACTAACCGTTTCTGAAATAATTAATTAAAACCTGATTTTGCGCATTTTCAGACATTGTTTATAGCAACTTTTTTATCTTTACGTGGAGAATCACCCACCGAAATATATTAACGTTATTTCCGAACACCCTGTATTCATTAGGGTGGCACTTAAAAAAATAAAATGCTTTTCACGCACTTCAGAACGGTTATAAATCGTGAAAAAAAAATGTTACAAAATAATAATAATTCAACGATAATTCTTGTAATTTTCAAAAAGGACCTTATTTTTACAAACCTTTTTGTAGACCAAGTAACAAAAGTATTTGTTGGAAATTGGGAATGAAAAGAATTTTAATAAGAATGTTGCTAATTGCTATAAATGAACCCAAAAATAACATAAACACAATTAAATAACACACCGTTCTGAAATCAAATTATAAAGAAATTTGGTACATTATAATTAAAAGTACTACTACAACACTTACTGAGTTATTTCGTAACTTTAACCCACTTAAATGTAATTTTAGTTTGAAAACCAGTGATGCATCATTCAGGGAAAAGAATATTTTTAACAAACGCTGCAATTGTTTGAGCCTGATTGCTTTGAATCAAACAACTGAAATTTAATTCAAAATTAGTGCTTTTGCTTAGAATGGGTGAACTGCTTTGCCAGAAATGGATTATTCGTTTAGGCTGCTGTGTTTGCTTGGAATATTATTAAGTTCTATGCAAACTTTGTACTGTTTTTTTTTACGTTTGAATTAAATTTAGATGGGTTTCCATAAAACGTGCAATATTTTCCACTAAAATTTATTAATGGGTTAACTGAAATATATAAAACTTATAATAAATCTGCTACCATTTTTGCGTAAATCTCAGCATTTGCAACAAATATAATAAGTTTGTGGCAAACATATCAAAGTTAATGGGCAATTGTGCTTAGTTTGGAAAGCGCAATTTTTGGAGTGTATCCCCTAATTTCAGTGATGGCATCTTTTTTCGGATACTTCGCACACTCGTTAAATAAATATAATAACAGATTTCTGGTAAAATATTATAAACACTTTAAACAGTTGTTACGAAAACCTTACGAATTAAAATAAAGTAAGCAGAAACATAAGTTGCAGACGCTGAAGTCAGTTGAACTTGTTGATATGTATTGTCAGTGGGAAATGTTTTGATTGACTACCTGAAATCACGTGTACTTTTTCAACGAAATAGTTTGTTAAACATTAACAAAATAATGTTACCTTTGAAATTATGTAACAAAATGTTTACAAAATTGCATATTATAAGTTTTGTAATATTTGCCTTTATTAAAATAATTACAAACCTTTTAAATTAAAATTTTACAAAATAAAACTAACAAACTACAAACTCATGTTAAAAATTCTGATTTTTATAACAGTGTATATTTTTTCTCCAAGGAATGGAACATTAACAAACTAGGCACCATACTCGATTTCGTGAACGAAGATTACGGAATCTCGATAGAAGGCGTTAATACGGCCTACTTATATTTCGGTATGTGGAAAACCACCTTTGCCTGGCACACCGAAGACATGGACCTCTATTCCATTAACTATCTACATTTTGGCGCCCCTAAAACATGGTAAATATTTTTTGAAAATCGTCCTAAACCAGTCTTCAGGGAATTAGTTATTAGTGTTTGAAATTTATTTTTTTTGCTAAGGTACTCCATACCACCTGAGCATGGCCGAAGATTGGAAAGGTTGGCAAACGGGTTTTTCCCCGGTTCATATAAAACTTGCCAGGCCTTTTTGCGTCACAAAATGACGCTGATCTCTCCACAAATATTACGACAGTATTCCATACCATACAACAAGGTAAAAAAAATATATAAAAATGATTTTTTTTTTCTAAACATGCATTTTTTCTTAGATCACTCAAGAATCAGGGGAAATAATGATCACCTTCCCTTACGGCTATCACGCAGGTATGGCCTAAATAACCAAATTAAAATTGAACGTTTTTTTATTTTGATTTTTGTAGGTTTTAATCATGGCTTTAACTGCGCAGAATCGACTAATTTTGCATGCGAAAGATGGATTGAGTACGGTAAAAGAGCAACACACTGTACTTGCAGCAAAGACATGGTGAAAATATCCATGGACACTTTTGTTAAAAGATTCCAACCCGATAGGTAAGATGCAGTTTTTAGTTTCAGATGAACCTATACAAAACTCTAGGTGTTAAATCGCAGTACCTTGGTGGCCAGCTAACATTTGCACCACGCAAAATTACGAAACACTAAAATCTTTTATTAAAAGTGATTATTTTGACGTTCTTAAATCTTTTTGACAGTTTCTTATGGTTATCTTAAATTTGTTTTTGACTTTTTTTTAGTGTTTTGAACATTTTCAAGTGTTTTTGACAATTTTGAATGAGTTTTGACGTTTTTAAAACAATTTCTGGTTTTAACATTGGTTTTTGTAATTTCAACCGTGTTTTTGACATGACAAGACAATTTCTTATGGTTTAACATGCTAATTTGTGTTTTTGATAGTCTTTTTCTTATGGTTTTCATAGATTAAAATGTGTTTTTACATTCTAAATTTTGTTTTTAATATTCCTAAATGATTTTTGTAATTTTTTATGGTTTTTTATAATATGTTTTTGACATTCTTTAAGTGTTTTGAACAATCTAAAAATGGTTTTGACAATTTGGTTTATGGCATTTCAAGCCGTGTTTTAACATTCTAAATTGTGTTTTTGATAGTTGTTTTTCTTATAGTTTTATTAGATTAAAATGTGTTTTTAATATTCTTAAATAATTCTTTGCATTTTCTTATGGTTTTCTAAAATGTATTTTGGACATTCTTTAAGTGTTTTTGACAATTTTTAATGAGTTTTGACGTTTTTAATTTCTGGTTTTAACATACCAAAATGTGTTTTTAACCTTCTCAATTTTTTACGTTTTTCATAGATTAAAATGTGTTTTTTACATTATAAATTGTATTTTTGATATTTTTTATGATCCTTGCAATTTTTTATGGTTTTCTAAAATTTGTTTTTGACATTCTTTAAGTGTTTTGAACATTCTTCAAGTGTTTTTAACAATTTTGAATGAGTTTTGACGTAAAACAATTTCTGGTTTTAACTTACTAAAATGTGATTTTAACTTCAAAATTGGTTTTTGGCATTCCAACCGTGTTTTTGACATGTGTATTAAACAATTTCTTATGGTTTCTATAGATTAAAATGTGTTTTTAACATTCTAAATTGTGGCTTGATATTCTTAATGAGTTTTAAAGTTTTAAAACAATTTCTGGTTTTAACATACTAAAATGTATTTTTAACATTCTAAAATTGGTTTTTGAAATATTCAGGGCAATTTCTTATGGTTTTCTTAAATGTGTTTTTGACTTTCTTCTTCTGAATATTCTGTTTTTGACCACTTAAAATGATTTTTTACATTTTAAAAATAATTTCTAGTTTTAACATACTAAAATGTGTTTTTAACATTCTAAAATTAACTTTTGACATCTTCAAGTTTAACATTTTGGGTTTAACATTCAAAATTGGTGGTTTTGATATTATTGAGTTAAATTTTGATAGTTTGTATTTTTCTTATATCCATTAATGGTTTTATAGATTAAAATGTGTTTTTAACATTTTATTTTTTTTTACATTTTTAAATGGGTTTTGGCGTTTATAAAACAATTTTTGGTTTTGACCTATTAAAACGTTTTTTTAACATTTTGAAATGGGCTTTCAACTTTCCAATCCGTGTTTTTGATAGTATTTAGTTTTTTTTACCGTTTTTACAAATTTAAATGTGTTTTTCACATTTTTAAATGATTGTATTTTGAACAGTTTTTTGACAATTTTAAAAGGGATTTGACGCTTTTAAAACAATTTCTGGTTTTAACATACTAAAATCTGTTGTTGTCATTCTTAAATTGGTTTTTAACATTCCAAGCCCTATTTTTAACATGTTTAAAACAACTTCTATGGTTTTCACAGATTAAAATATGTTTTTAACATTCTAAATTGTGTTTTTGACATTCTTAAATGATTCAATGATTTAAGACTTTTTGAAAATTTGATATGCCGTTTTTAAAACGTTTTCTGGTTCTAACATTTTAAACTGTATTTTTAACATTCTTAAATGATTCTCGACCTTTTCTTATGGTTTTTCTTATATATGTGTTTTTGACAATTTTAAAGTTGACGTTTTTAAAGCAATTTATGGTTTCAATTTTAACATTCCAAGCCGTAATTTTAATTTTCTGAAATGAATTTTAACATTTTCTTATGGTTTTTACAGACTAATAGTATATTCTGAATACGGCATATTCCGCTCGATTGAAAAGTTTGTTACACGAGCCAAAGGCGAGTTTGACGGTTTCTCGAGAGCGGAATATGCAATTCCAAACGTGTTTCAGACTATACTTTTTCTACGTTTTCAAAAATTACCATAGGAAAATAATCGGTCTAAAATTTGTTAGATATTAAACACAGAGATGTCGCCACCAGTGTTTATTCCGTTATCCGATGATAGAATAATTCATTCTGTAATACTTTAAGGAATGTTTTTAATATCTAACAAATTTTAGACCGATCCAACCTCACTTTCTTCCAATTAAATTATTTTTCTATGGTATTTTTTGGAAACGTAGAAAAAGTAGAGTCTGAAATACGTTTGGAATTGCATAGTCCCCTCTCGTGAAACCGTCAAACTCGCCTTCGGCTCGCGTGACAAACTTTTCATTCAAGCGGAATATGCCGTATTCCAAACTTGTTACAGAATATACTATTCTACATTAAAACGTGATATTAGAACGGCCATATTCCGTGGTAGGAATAGAAAAATTGTGTTTTTAACATTCTCAAAGAATTCTCGATTTTTTCTTATGGTTTTCTAAAATTAGTTTTTGACACATTTCAAGCCGTGTTTTTCACGTTTAAAACAATTTCTTATGATTTTAAAATTTTTCAAGTGCCTCTTTATAGTCCGGGAGGCAGTGAAGATTTTCGGTACTTATTTTCCCAGTCGGCAAACACCGATACAATTTTTGGGTTTGTTATTCTGAGCAAAATTTATATATATTTAGGGGGGGGTTTTCCGATGGGTTAAGGCGGAAAATGCGTTATAAAGTACAAATATATTGCACTTTTTTTCCAGTGATAAAAATAATTCCATTAGTGAGAGATATAGTGAACTTAAGAAAAAAATAGTCTGGCTAATCTGTGAGTATGGGTAATATGTCTGGCAGGTGGAAAAATTATCAAAACCATTGCCCTTATTTTCGCAGTCCTAAAAATTTTGTGAGATGATAGTTTATATTATAATTACAGCTGCAAATATAGTCTGGCTAATGTGGAACACTCCAAAAGCCTTGCCAGACTCGTCCAACCCTCCACAGGCGCGCTAAATTCGGCATGTTCAATTATACAGGCGATTGTTGTCATCTCTACATGTTTTTACTTTTCATAATGTATGATAAGAAAATAATTTGTGTAAAGCAAAATTTAAATATGGCTAAAAAAAATGTCAGTCCGTCCGCCACCAAAAAACTTTATTCGCGAATAACTTTGTAACTATCAGAGATACGAGAAAATTTGTGCAGTTGTTTTTTGTAGGATTCTCTACAAAATCGATCTCTTGACAGTCTTTTGTATCTCCCTTAGTTTTTGAGTTATATCAATAAAAAAAAAGAAAATCGCGAAAATTCCCATTCAAACGCGAGTTTCTGCTATCTGACTTGTTATTCTGGCGGGGCTTTCGTGATTGTAAATAACAGCCAGACGTGTATTTTCTACGAAATTATAGTATTATTTATCATGTGACAAATTTTCAAATCCGGGAAAATAAGAGCAAAATTTTTGTAATTCTTACGATTTTCAAGATGCCTCCAGAACAATTTGCCAATTTCATAAATCAGCCAGACTTAATTTTGATTATAGTTTATGACAGTACCAAATAATGGGTTAAATTTTAAGCATGGGAAAATAAGGGCTACGTATTTCAAAAACCGGTCAAATTTTTGCTTCCGCAAATTTTCAGCCAGACTGACTTTCCTTCACTTGGGATGTGCCAGACTGTTATTTCCATTAATAAAATGACTCACTTTAATTAATGTGAAATATTTATGACTGGGAAAATAAGTGGACTTGACTTTTTGGCTCATCTAGTGAACCCATCCGAAAATTTTAGCCAGACACACAAATTGTCGTTTTGTGTCACCATTTGAACAAACTTAATGACATTCACAAACTGGAAAAATAAGAAGATAAAAATCTTTAGTAAAGATTCTTTACTGCCTCCCGGACTATTATGTTATACGTTATTATATTTTAATTAACGCAGGTACGAAATGTGGCTGAAAGGCGAAGACATCGGTCCGCATCCAGAGGATCCCGACAGAAAGGTCGCCGCACCTTTACCGCTGCCGCAGGACATCCTGTGTAACAAGAACAACACTTCCCTGCCGCAATGTTTCCTGGAGGCGCCGAAAAAAGGTCGCGGACGAATGAACTACTCACAGTAAGAAACTTTTTCTTGATAATCTTCCATGAAAAAAAAACAATGTTTCAATGTCTATCTCCTCAAAATTGACATTTAGGTTCTTGCCTCTAAGAATAGTGTTTTTTTGTCGATTTTTTTCAGCAGCTTTCCAGAATTTCCCGCGGAATTGCAGCTGGAACTCATGGAGGAGGACAATATGAATTATTCCGACGAAATTGCCCCCGATGAGCAGCAACTGGAAGTATTGGAGGATATTTGGTTGAAAGCTGGGGAAATAGGTAAGAAAAATTTTGTGTGAAATAAAGTTTATTTTTTTTATCTGGACTGCGGCAACGTTGCAAATTTACGGTTTTGGTTGGTAAATACGGAACCAAAATTGGTTGCATTGATTAAAACAAACTAAACTAGTTATAGTGTAATTGTGGTTATGTTTAAATTATTGTAGGTTACATTGAACGGTTGTCAAGTTGAGTTGTCAAAATTCGTAGGTGGTGCTTGGATGAGTAAAATCATATAAAAAAGTAGTTAAATATAGGTTGCTTTACGGCCAGGAAGAGAAAGTATTCCTAGCGGATAATAATCTTCGCTTTAAAAAGAATTTTATAGAAAAATTAACTACTGGATTTTTCACAAAAAGGTTAAACCACAAACCACTGTGGGTTAAACGTAACATCAAATAATTTTTATTTTTTAAAATTTTAAAAATTTTTGATCTGCTTAGCTGGAAATAATGTGTGATTTAATATTTGTAAAACCAAAAACGTTACTTTTTTACTCCAAAAATGTCCATAAGACGATGAACTTTTTCTGCTATTTCTGCGTTTTTACATTTTAAAATTGGTTTTTGACTTTCCAAGCCGGGTTTTTGACATGTTCAAGTCAGTTTCTTATAGTTTTAACAATTTAAGTTGTGTTTTTGCTAGTATTTTGCCTTCTTATGGTTTTTACAAATTAAAATGTGTTTTTGACATTTTTAAATGATTGTGTTTTGAACATTATTGAATTAAGTGTTTTTAACGATTTTAAAACAATTTCTGGTTTTAACATACTAAAATCTGTTTTTAAAATTCTAAATTGTGTTTTTGATATACATACTTAAATGATGCAATAATTTAAGCGTTTTTGACAATTTTAAATAAGTTTCAACGTTTTAAAAACTTTTTGTGAACACACGTGAATGTTGTCCAATCATTGGACTCCAATGGTGAATGAGTATTTTGTTAAAGCCACTGGATGTTAATACTTGTAGTGGCTTAATAATAATTATAATTTATAGGTATATTGTCCAGGACTATTAATGACCAGTAACTTGTAAATTGAAAGAATAAAAAGTTTCGTGATTATTGCTTAATTTTTTTCAAACCAAATTGATGCTATTTTCAAAGACAGGAAAATTAACTACTAGATTTTTCCACAAAAAGTTTGAACCTAACAGTTATTTAATAATTTATTACCCCCTTATTTTTTAAAATTTCAAAAAATTTTGATCTCCTTAGCTAAAAATAATGTGTGATTTAATATTTGTAAAACCAAAAACGTTACTTTTTTACTCCAAAAATGTCCATAAGGCGATGTACTTTTTCTGCCATTGAGGCATTTAGCATAACCCTAAACCAAACCAATAGATCTTAAAATCTTAAAGAGTACATAGTTTGGAGCCAAATGAAGCGCCCTCTCTGAACTTGGTTAAAAATTAAATTACGTGTTTACAGGCATTTGTTGCCAACATAGCTTTTAATTGGTGGAAAATCAACGTATTTGATTGGTTACTTCAATTTAAAATGTAACTTGTGGCTAGATTTTAAATATAATCAGTAACGAAAACAATAACTTTGTTTTCTACCATGTATTTAAGGTACTTCTGTGGTTATGCTGTTTAGTAATTCTCAAGCAAGTTTTATAAACTAAAGAAATTCGCAGATTTATGGAAAAGCAATAAGGAAAACAAATGTATGTAAATGTAAAACAAGTGTATTTAGTATTCATTTGTAAAATCCAAAAGTAACTGTCTCATTGATCATTGTTTTGAAATTGAAGAATAATGTTAAATCCATAAATTTTATTAAACAATACATGCCTACCATCTGAAAGATTATGATTCGGTCAAAGTGTCGTTTATAAATTATTATTATAATACAAACCTTAGTACAGTACACAATAAAAACACACAAATACACAAAATCGATAACTACCGATATAATTGAACGTCAAAAAGGTCAAAAACGTCAAAAAATTATAAAATCCGCGCCCTCTCTTGGCTTGGCTAAATATTATAATACTGTCCCGACATCCGACATAAGATATTTATCTATTGGTTTGGTCTAGGATTATAATTATAAGGTCTCCAGCAGAAGTACCTTTTTTTAAAAACTAAAAATACTAAATGAAACTGGCACAAGCTACCAACTTGATAAAAAAACACGAGTCCAAATATAAAAAAAATTGAACTGTACAAAACGAAATTTCACACGTTTTCTCTGCAGAAGCGGAAGACGCGACGATCTGCGACGCAGGTTACAACGTCAAAAACCGACGCCGCGGTTTTCACAACAAAAAGCGTCGCGTGCCGAAAGACGCCGCCGCCGCGGCGTCGTCTTCCAGCAACGTCAGAGGGCGACCTAGGAAGAACGCCAAAAAGTTCGTGGAAGACGAAACGGACGAATTGACCGGAATTTACGCGCCTTGCGCCAGCAAGAGTAAAAAGGTGAGTCAACTTTTTTTCTTATTTTCATTTTTAACAATTAACAATTTTTATATATTTATATTATAAGTTATACAGGGTGAGTTTTAAGTTGACGCGTTCCTTTTAACAGCGTGTAGAAATCAGATAAACAAATAAATATTTTAAGTAACTTTTTTATCAAAACTCAAAAATAAGAAAGTTATAGGCCTTCCAAGTTTAATTAAATTTTGAACTGGTCCTGGCTAGTTTTAACAAAAAACATAACCATAAAAATAAAAATAACAAAATAAACAATGCAAAATGTCATCTATGACAACAAACATAACCATTTAAATCAAAATGACATTTAGCAATGAAAAATGTCAGTTTTTTTGTGCCTCAATTATTGTTAATTATTGTTAAAAATGGTTCATAATAATAATAATTTATGGAGATTGTCGTCTAAATGCAAATGCTGCAAATTAAGTAAATAATGACATTTTTTATTGCAAAATGTCAATTTGATTTAAATGGTTATGTTTGTTGTCAAATATGACATTTTGCATTGTTTATTTTGATATTTTTATGGTTATGTTTTTCGTTAACAATAGCCAGGAACGGCTTAAAATTTAATTAAACTTCGATGGGCTAACTTTTTTATTTTTAAGTTTTGATAAAAAAATTACTTAAAATATTTATTTGTCTAGCTGATTTCTACACACTGTTAAAAGGAACGCGTCAACTTAAAACTCACCCTGTATAGGGTGTTATGTAATTAATGTAATATTTTAAAATACTGAATACCTTTTTGACATAAGGTGTAATGGAAAAATATTTAAAAAAAGTATTTTCCCAAATATAAAGAAAAAATATGCATTAGAAGTTTTTTTATATTTTTTGTGATACGTCAGTGGTTACACATTTGTGTTCTGTGAGTACATAGATACCAACCAACAAAGTAACTGCGCGTTGCCAATTGTTACTAAAAAATTGTCTTGCAAAAAATAAATAAAAACCCAATAAATACAAAAGTTTTATGCCCTTAAATCTCTAATACCCTTCTGTATTTATTTACTCGTCCAGCTATTAGCTTAAGCTATGAAAATTTAGTACCTATTTTAAAAACTCCATAACGACAAAATTAATTTTTTCGTCGGTTTTTTTCTTTCTGTTTATTCAGATTTAATTAGGACAAGTTCACAGGTTAAACCAACCATAACATAATAAATTAAATTAGGCAACCAGATTAGCCTAAAGTTCCTAGTCGATCAGTGATTGATTAGGATAAAGGTTATTATAAAATATTTGTAGTCTTAAGAATTAAGAAAAAAAAAGTTTCAGGTGCTTCTTTATGGACCCTAAGCAACTACCCATTTTAATATATTACATTATTTACATAACACCCTGTATACAGGCTTATAATTTATAACACACATAAGCCTGTATAATATTCTAAATTATGAGCTTGACTATAATATTATAAGCGCTTTCTCCTATTATTAGTCGATTATAGAAATTTTCTGCAGTTTTCTTCCTATAACAGCCATGTTACTTTACTCTAACAAGAAAAATTGTTTCTACTTATAATTTTTAACTTGTAATTATTTTAACTTGTCTTCGTTTTATATCTTTGCGTCACTGGATCTTGTCATCAATTTATTTTGTCCCAAATTTAGCTTTTCATCATTTTAACTTGTCATTCTTTTAGCTTCTCCACATTTTAGCTTGTCGTCTTAAGCCTCATAATATTTTAACTTGTCCTCGTTTATTGTCCTTTGATCTTGTCATCAATTTATTTTCTCCCAAATTTAACTTGTAATTATTTTAACTTGTCCTCATTATAACATCTTGTTTTAACTTGTCATTATTTTAGATTGTCCACGTTTTATATCTTGTCATCAATTTATTTCGTCCCAAATTTAATTTGTCATTCTTTAAGCTTGTCCTCATTTTAACTTGTCATCGTTTTATTTTGTCCTCATTTAAGCTTAATATTATTTTCACTTATCCTTGTTTAAAGCTAATCATTTATTTTATCGTCATTTTTACCTTGTCATCATTTTATTTTATTCTCATTTAAGCTTGATAATATTTTAGTTTGTCGTTTAAACTTGTCATTACTTTAGCTCGTCTTCGTTTTATATCTTGTCATCAATTTATTTCATCCCAAATTCCATTTGTAATTCTTTCAGCTTGTCATCCTATTATTTTGTCCTCATTGAAACTTGATATTATTTTAACTTGTCCTCATATAAAGCTTATCGTCATTTGATCTTGTCAGTCATGTATTTTGTCGTCATTTAAGCTTGATATTAGTTTAGCTTGTTTTTATTTTACCTTGTCATCATTTCATTTTGTCCTCATTTATAGCTTATCGTCATTTGATCTTGTCACCAATTTATTTTGTAATTTTACTTTTTCTCATTTTAGCATGTCGTTTTAAGTTGTCATTATTTTAGCTTGTCCACGTTTTACATCTTGACATCAATTTATTTCGTCCCAAATTTAATTTGTCATTGTTTTAGCTTGTCCCTATTTTAACTTGTCATCATTTATTTCGTCCTCATTTAAGCTTGATATTATTTTCACTTTCCTCGTTTAAAGCTTATCGTCATTTGATCTTGTCATTAATTTATTTTGTTCCAAATTAAGCCTGTCATCCTTTTAGCTTTTCCTCATTTTAATTAATTATTTTATGTTGACGTGATTTAAGCCTGATATTATTTTAGCTTGTCATCGTTTTATTTTGTCCTTATTTAAGCTTGATAATATTTAAAATTGTCCTCGTTTATAGCTTATCGTCATTTGATCTTGTCATCAATTTATTTTGTCCCAAATTAAGCCTCTCATTTTAACTTGACATTATTTTATTTTCTCCTCATTTTGACTTGTCGTCGTTTAAGCTTGATATTATTTTAGCTTGTCCTCTTTAAAGCGTAACGTCATTTGATCTTGTCATCATTTTATTTTGTCCCTATTTTAGCTTGTTGTCATTTAGTTTTGATTTATTTTTAACTTGTCCCCATTAAAGCTTGATATTATTTTAATTTGTCCTTGTTTATAGCATAACGTCATTTGATCTTGTCATTAATTTGTTTTGTCCCAAATTTACCTTGTCATTTTAGCCATATATTTTTTTTAAATGCTCGTCATTTAACAAAAAGTATGAGTGCTCTTAAGGATAGCACCCCAGCTATCCTTTTAACCCTTTTGGTAAGTGATATTTTTTAGAGACACCTTGTAGAATAAATTAAACCAAACATGTTTGTTGCCGGGGAAACAAATATATGTATAAACTGTCAACTGTCAAACAGAATTTAAAGTATTGCTTATCTGAAAAAAAAATTGCATTAAAACTTTGAATTGCAGGTCTGCGGTCCTATAGTAGCGCCCCTATCGATGCTCGAAGACACTAAAAACGAACTAGTAAAGTCCCTTGTGGCGCAAGAAACGGAACACGTTATGGCGAAAAAGCAAAACAAACACAAGCACCGAGACCCAGAGAAAAAACACAAAAAACGTGAGTTTTTATTTATTTTTATTTTTTTCTCCCATGCTAGAGCCTATTTACCGGACTTCCACTAAAATATACCATTTCCCATCCCACACATTAAATACTAAATCGCCGTGCGTTTTGTGCAGGCAAACACCATCACCACCACCATCACACCAACAACACCAATGACACCAACCAAGATAACGCCGAGTCGGTAAAGAAGGAACCCAACCCAGATATCAACCAGATCAACGATATTATCCGCAAAGCGGAAGAAGAGCACGCCAGAACTAAAAATTACGCCGCCGACGTCAAATACGAAATTAATAATCATAAAAGTAGCCCCAATAGTAATTTGAAGGCTTTCAGAAAGCCCAAAGATTTAATTTTACCAAAACATGTTCAAACCATCAAAACCTCGAAAGGTATTATAACGGTGTTGGAAAGTCGACCGGTTATGTCGAAACCGAAACCTGTTTGCACCACTGTGTCCAGTACGGCCAGTACCAGTACTAGCACTGGCACCGGCACCGTCATGAAGTACGAAAACGCGTTCCTTAACTTCCTCAGCGAGAAGGAGGCCCGCAAGAACGTCAAAAAAGTGACGAAACAAAAAGCTAAACAAACGACGGTTAAAAAAGAGGACGCAAACTCCGTGACGGCAATGCCGGAACTCAGTTCCCCGCTAAAAGAAGAGTGTTACGTTAAGCACGACGAAATGCCCGAGCTGGCGCCCATCAGTTTGCAACAAAACGCGCAAAATTTTGCGCAACCGAATGTGCAAGATTTTACGCAACCAAACGTGCAAGATTTTACGCAACCAATTGTGCAAGACTTCACGCAACAAAACGTGCAAACGGCGCAACAAAATGAGGTGTACGTTTTAAATCAGAACGACAATTTGCAAGTGTTTAGCGTGCAAACGAACAGTCCCAACGGCATCAAAACGGAAGACGCGAAACCCGCGGCTCCTACGGTGTATTCCATGGAGACCGTGCACCCGTTGTTTTTGCCGCCGACTGTACCTACGGTGGTGAAACCCCCGGAGCCGAAGCGCGGGCCCAACTTAATTTGGAGCAACCAGAATTTCTTCACAGTCAACAAATTGAGCAGCACGACCTACTTGAACGACGACAGGTTTTACCCCATGACGAGTAAACCTATAAGCTTGTGCGGCAACGAAAAAGTCGTCGTGGAGACGGTACCGCAAGACGAGATAGACACCGGGGCGCATTTGGTTGCCGATTTGAACGACTTTAACGATTTCGTCGAGCACCATCTGACGAAGAAGGAGGTGGTGTCGGATTCCGACGATACCGACGGCGATTCGGACGATAACGATTACAGCACCTCCAGCAGTACCGTTAGCGCTTACTCGAGCGACTACGAAACCAGCGACGATTCCGATTGCGAAATATGCCGGGCAAAACGACCGACTGCAACACCCGAAGAAGCAAAACCTGTTTTAAAAGAGACCACGAACAACATAAATGCAGTAAAAAAACGGCGTTACACGAAGAAGAAATTCACCAGTTTGACGGGGAAAAGTAAACTGGTGCAGCCGAAAAAAATGGTGATACGGAAGAAACACATCAAACCCTCGCAGTTAATATACGGGGTGTCGAAATGCGGGCGGCCTCGCAAAGACCTAAAAGATCAGTACAAAAAATTGAAGGACAAAATCCGCGACTACCAAAAAAACCACTCCACCGCCACGATAATCGACGATAAGCGCGACTTGAGTATGTACTTGGACTTGAAACGCGAAACTTTGACGCCCATGGAGGTCAAAGTTTCGGTTACCAACGTCCTCGACAACTTCTCCAAAGACGTTCAGGATTATCTGAGTCAGGGTTTAACTTTGTTCAATGTGAGTACGTTGCCTATAGTTGAGGACGCGGCCGGTGATGGCGCTGACGATGCTGCTTTAACGATTTCGCCGCAACTAGATATCAAAGAGGAGATGCAGGAGGAGGGGGAGGGGCAGAGTTGCTGCGCCGTGAAAGTCGAAAACGAGGCTGATGACGCGCAGGCGGTTCCTAAGAAGGCCAGAAGCGATAAGGATGGCAAAAAAGTAAGTTTTATTTTTTTTTAATTTTTTGTCTAAAGGGTCATTCCATCATTTCAAGTGTTACATTTGTTCAACTAAAGTATAAATTTTGTATTTTGAAATAATATTTTGGCAATTAATGTGCCTTAAGCTTAATTTTCATGTATCCGTTTGTCCGTTAGTCCGTTCATCCGGAAGCGCTCTTATTGGTCCAATTATAATTCAAAAATTATGACATTTTTTCCGTCCCTCAAGTTTTAACTTCGTACGTCTGACGGAGAAATTTAAAATAATTTTAACTCATCTGTCACTACACATCTGTTTTTGACGCCTAACGTTATTTTAATCCTGAGGAAATTCTGAGTCAGACAGCATCCTCAAATTGACCTTTTGACGTTTCCTAGAGTGCTTTGAACTATATTATTTTCTTCTAATGGATTCACACAATACTTGAAAAATGGAACTTGCCTTAGAAATTTGTTTGTTTGTTTTTTATTCAGCTATTCCCAGCAGTCTAAACTTGTCAAAATTCGTTTTTCTCAAATAGTTCAAAGCAATCTAGATTGATCTTTATGATGATGCATTTTCATGATGCATTTGATGACGAAACATCGAAAGGTCAATTTGAGGATGCTGTTAGACTCAAAATTTACTCAGGATTCTAAATATGTAAAAATATATAGGGCGTTCCATTTAAAAATCGAAAGTTGATATCATTTCCGGCAAAAAGTTCAAAAAATTTATTTTGTACTCTTATAAGTGGCATTTTATATCCAAATTAACCATGCTAAATTTCATGCATCTATCTTTATAAATAAAAAAGTTACAGGGGTGCGCCTATTCTCAGATACACCCGGTATTCCATTTTCCATTATTAAAAATTTTGACTGAGACTAAAAAAATTGATTTCTTATTATTTGGTAGTCTATTATAGGTAGTTACTTTTTTAAGACCAAATCAAAACAAACACTGAAATTGTCCAAGGATGGATTCTTCTGGAAACCGAACTGATAGCGAGGAATCGTGTCACCTATTGCTTCTGTAATATGTTTTATTATTTTACTTTTATCATTTGCTATTGCAAATTTGTATCTAGGTCATGAGATTAAATTAAAGATCCTTCATTCCTACAGGTTTCTACTTTTGCTTCGCCTCCTTGTTCTTCAGTTATTTTCTTCCCGCCGTATCGGAATGGTTTAACACTGCACTTTTGTTTTTGAACTGTAAATCTTTGATTATTTTTTTAAAGTGATCTATGGAAGCCCAACGTCTACCTTCTACGAGAGTTCGAGCGACATCGCTCAGAATAGTTTGTTGCTATTACTTAAAAATTTGTGTTATTTAGGTCATAATTTTAGTTACTGACAATTAATCTTGTCACCCTTTTAACTTTTCTAGACTTGCCATCATTTTAGCTTCTCATTATTTCACCTTGTCGATATTTTAACTTTTAATCAATTTGTCACTCCAAATGTTTTCTTCATTTTAGCTGGTCACTCCAACTTGCTATTATTTTAGCTATAAAAAACGGTTTTTTTTTTCAAATCTGCTGCAATAAAGCATATTCTGTCAATAAATAACATCAATATTAAAAAATGGAGTAATTTTTCAAAATGAAATTTTAAGTAAAATGTATATTAATAATAAAGTGAAATGTAGAATATATTACATTTTTTTGACCGAGACTAAAATATCTGATTTCTTATTATTTGGTAGTTTCCACATAAGAAACTAAAAGCAAGTCTACACTAATAGAAAAAATTAAAGGATAAAAAAAAATTCCAAATTTTTTGCCATTTTTCGTATACCTGTATCTTCGTTAAAAATGGTCGTATGTGAGCCGTAAAAAAAGCAATTTGAAGCTTCTAGTTTTAGATTTTTAGATGAAAAACGTGCAACGCTCAATCCTAACAAATACCGTAATAAAAAAAATCTAAATTTTTTTGGCTTTCTTTTTTGGTCCATGGAATGTTCTGACTTAACCACCAATGAATAAATGTTCTACAAGAATTTGTTTTTTTTTAATTTCCATACTCTACATAAATTTGAAAAATCATGAAAAAAGTGCTTTTGGTAGCTTTTTGAAAAATCAAGTGCTGAAACAAAAATATTATAGGTAGTTACTTTTTTAGGACCAAATCAAAATAAGCAAAGCGCGAGACTGTATTTACATTTACTAAATGTCATTTAGTGGCTAATTTTAGTCCATGTACTGGACTGAAAACATAAAAAAATAGGCAAATGGGACTAATCTTGAAAAAAACCTAAAATATGAAAAAAAAACAAAAAAAAGAACCGTTTTTTTTAAGTCGCATCTCTAGCTCCTCGTTATTTTAGCTTGTCGTCACTACTACTACTACTATTTTAGCCTATTGTCAGTTCAGCTTGTCCACATTTTAGCTTTTCGTCACTTAAGCTTGTCATTATTTCAGCCTCAACATTTTAGCTTGTCGTTACTTAAGATTATTATTTTATAGCCTATTTTCACTTAAATTTGTCATCATTTTCATTTTCATATTAGCCTATTTTCACTTAAGCTTATCATTATTTTAGCTTCTTGTCATAAGCTTACTACTATTTTAGCATATTGTCACTTAAGCTTGTCATATTTTTAAGCTTACTACCGTTTTATTTTACAAACGCAGTTTTTTTCAATACTTCAGGTTAATATTATATTTTTATATTTTTCCCCACAAAACTAGTGTTTTCAATATACTTTAAAATTTTATTGATTGTTTCAATCATAAAGTTTAACAACGATTATGAAGAGGAAAGTGGTACTGTAATATTACAAAACGAGTTTTTTCTAGTCTGATCTAAACAATAGAATGTTAACTTTTGCAGAACTGTTTATATTTTGACGCAATATTGGTTCACATTATTTCTTCGCAACACCCAGCGTAAAAAAATTACTAATCGTAATAAAAAGTTGCAGAAAAAAATTTTAAAAGTGGACGAAAAAGTATGGGCCCGCCACCGGAACGGCCGTTACTACAAAGGGAAAATCGAGAGCATGCGCAACGAGCCAAACATGTGCGTTTTTTTCCTGGCCGATCAAAGTTTTTCCAAGGACGTCAAGCTGAAGGACCTCGTCGATTGGACGAAGAAAGCGCCGCCCACCATTGGTCAACGCATGAAGGTCAGATGGTCGGACGGTGACGTTTACGACGCCGACTATCTCGGAAAGATCGACGTCTATATTTATATGGTGAGTGCGCACTCTTACACCCTGGTTGTCTTGCGCTGGGCGCTCTTTGGACATGCTACCATACATTTTTTTATTCCAGGTTCATTTCGAAGACGATTCAAAATTGGAAGTAACCAGAGAACATATTTATTTAACGACTGAACCTATTCCGAAGCGTATTGCCACCAAACTGGTGAGTATCGGTTGATTTTTTTTTTGATTTTTTGTTTATTTTTTCCCTTTTTCTATATTGTTAGTCGTATGCGAGCGACATGAAAAACAGGGATCATTTGTACGATTTAGAGAAACCGCTCCCTGAAAAGAGACCTGTCAAGAAAAAAGTAGTAGACGAATAAATAACTAACTTAAATGTATTAAGCAGAATTAAAATTTTGAATTATGTTGGAAAAGACTGAATGCTAGAGATTAAGGTTCAGCTTTGTTAATTTTTTGTCCAAATCTTTTTTAGTTTATTTGTAGCTTTTTTTTCTTAAGTGAAAAATTAATTATAATTAGTTTTATTCGATTCAATTTTATTATGATTTGTGTGTGATAAAAATTATATTTATTTATATGTAAATAAGTAAATAAAACGGTCGTATTTCTAGTTATAACCATGTACAATGAGTAATTGTATAAAATAGAAAAATAAATTGTCACTTCTACATTATTATTTTGTTTTATTAATAGTACCTTTTCTTTCAGCTTTCAAACATTTGAAATAAGCATATTTTATGAAATTTATGATTTAAAAAATATTGGTTGATTATTTCACACCTATATTTATTTAAAACAATTTTTTCGCCCAGCACATAAATATAAAAATGAATCATATCAAACCTAAAAATATGACCGAAAATAATATTTATTGTCTCTAGGGTCGGTAAACTCATATCGTCCCTAGGGCCGCTAAAGTTGATTTTTGTAGTTTTTCACAATCTAGAAACCTTTCACTGACATTTATGTATTTTGGCATTTGACATTTTGACATTTGAGATTTTCAGACGTTTGTGTAAATCAAAATAAAAACGGACAACAAAAGTATAAAATAACATCAAAACCTGATTTAAATTTTGTAATAAAGTGAAAATGAATGGTAACTCGGACAATAACGAAAAATTTACGAATACTTGACCAGATTTGAAAAAGAGGAAGCTAGCAATGTTTCTATGAATTAAAAAAAAATTGTTTGATGCTAGGCGAAAAACAGATGTGTGTCACACGTTCAGAAAACGCATTAGCAGCCCTTAGCTATCAACTGCCCACGCTTCGCTTCGCTCGCTCGGGCATTTAATAGCCGCGGGCTGCTTAAGCTAGTTTTCTGCCCTTGAGACACAATATACTATGAAATGACATCTTAACTACTTTTGGTTTTATTGCATTATGAAATAATGAAGTTATCTTTCCGCATACACTCACAGACAGAGTGTGCGCATGAGCATTTTGCGCATTCGTAGGGTACTACTGACAGACGTTCTATGCTTCACACCCAAAAGTTTCACTTTGACATTTGAATACCATTAATTAAGGTTATCTATCTGTCAGTTTAACACTAATTCTTCCGAAAATTCTACTGTTAAACCAATCAAATGACAGGTCACCATGGCAACACAATGTGTTGAACACATGTATTTTTGTGGACATTTTTTTTGCTTGGGTGGATAACCAACAGGGTTGGGTATCTACCTACATTTTTGTTTTCGACATGTAGAAAACCTTTTTCGACGTTTTCGACGGTAGAAAACGTAAAAAAGTAGAATACTGTCAAATATCAAAAAATGTGAGGTTATGCAAGTTTGTTGTTTATTATGATTTGTTAAAGGTTGTGAAAAATCAGACACCTACCATAAATTTGAAGTTATTTGGAGTTTTTTAACATTATTATGGTGGGAAAAAAAGGGCCACGTTTGGTTGGGAGACCCCAACATAATTTTTGGCATGAGGGCAAATTTTTATCAATTATAGAGAAGTGGAAGGAGAAGGTCGAATAAGGTAATTTACGTAGGTAGAAAACCCTATAGGTTTTCGACGCAAGTCGAAAACAAGTTTTCTACCCTTTTCTACCAAGGTAAATTACCTAAGGTTTTCTACTGACCCAACCCTGATAACCAACAGCGAATTAAATCGGAATTTGTTTGACATAATCGAAATTTTTTTTTTGGCAATATTAGTTTTATTTTCTTTATTTAATTTTGATACATTTGAATTACCTACATAGTTAAGATGTTTTTTGTATTCTTCTGCCACCTTTCTTCTTAAAAGTGAAAAAGCTGGACTTGGAATCAAATCAATTAAATATCTGTTTGATAAAATATATATAATAATTTGACACCCTTTTATTTACCATTTTTCCATTTAGTACTTTCAATTTGAAGTAATTTAAAAGCAAATATATAAGTATACTTCTGAACAATTTAAAACAAATTTTCTTCCTTCAAATGGCAACCACAATAGTCTTTTTCTACGACCACTAAGTATGTAAAAGTCACATTTCGTATTGGCATCGTTGCTTAGAAAATGAATCTTTTCATTGGAAAGGCAAAACACGAATGTAAAGTGACATTTCTGTGTGAAAAGAAATTGACAGCATCGTTTGACATTCGTTTCAAATTTAGTATTTTATTTGTACCTATGTGTTTGTATAATAAATTCTAGTTAGTCGTGGAGTCTCGGACTCCATGACTTATAGAAGCGGAGGAATTTTTGAAAATGCGACTTCCCGGGTAGTTAGATATACCTTTATATATATGGATCGATTCAGAATCGAATTCTGAACAACTTTCATTTTTTCTGTTGTCTGGATGTCTGGATGTCTGTTAGTCTGTGTGTCTGTGTGTCTGTCATCAAATTTTTAAAAATTCACAACTCGAAAATGGTTAACGGTGGAAACTTGAAATTTACACTCTTTTTTAACCCCCACGAGACGCACCTCTCATCCAAATTTGGTTATTGCAAGAAAGGTCTAAGTGCACTTTTTATCAATTTTTTCGACGAAATTTTGAGGTTTTTCCTATCTGGATTCCAGGTCAGAAGGGATCGACGTAGAAAGACCAAATTTGGTGAAAAGGTGTACGAGGACTATCTATTTAAGTGTATAGGATATGAGCTTTTCAGGCCTGCAACTTTGGAAAAAAAAAATTTTTTTCGACTTTTTCAGGAATTTTTTGAAATTTTTTTTCTCGAAAAATAACAAGACTTTAAGTAAACGAAAAAGACGAATAGATGTGCAAAGGGTTGTTATTTAACATACTAAAAAATAAAAATCATCGAAACAAACTAACATGGCCTACTGCTCAATTTATTTTTGTTGCTATTTTAAATAATGCAGGCAATTTTTAATTAATTTTTTTCTACTGTTTGTAAACACATTTTTTTAATTTTAACCCTACGTTAAGGTAATCTATAGTCTTCTAGACCAATTTGCCATAAAAAAATATTAAAATGTTTTCCTCTTCTTCTTCTGCAATTTATTTTACAAAATCATTAATATCTCTTGACCTATAACAGATGGCGATTTAAAATTTGGCAACAATGTGTGGGCTCATGGTACAAATGTCCCCTTAAAAAACTATCAAAATCAAAAAACTATTTGGACATTTTTTTCAAAAATTAGTCGAATTTTTTTTCATTTTTTTGAAAATTCCCTTTTTGATGCAGACAATTTAATTTTAGCAAGACAATGTATATGACATTAAAAAAAGATATTTTTATGACAAATCGTTTGGTGAAAGCAGCATAGGTGTATCTTTATTAGTTTTCGAGATATGATTTTTTTTTAATTCAAAAGTTGTCGGTTTTTTATTTAATTTTCAGTTTTTCGGCAGAAATCTTTATTTTAGCAAGATCATGTATACGACATTAAAAAAAGACATTTTTATGGCGAATTTTTTGGTGAAAACCGCGTAAGATTATCTCTGTTGGTTTTCGAGATATGATTTTTTTAAATTCAAAAATTAAGAAACGTCAAAATCTGACGTTTCTTCCATGTACATTTTTACGTCTATAACTCGCTTAATTTAAGGCCGAGAAAAAATTCCTTCACTAAATTTGTGTAAAATAACTTCCTCTGGAAGACCAAAAAGAAAAAAATCAAAAATTTTGAAAATTACGGAAAATTATTTTTTGGGCATTTTTTTCAAATAAAATACCCGTTTTTATGCGTTTTTGGGCATAACTCGGTCAATTTTGGCCCGATCGGGCTGAAATTTTAAACGTTTACTCTCACACGAACACCAGTGAGGCCGGTAATGTAAAACCGGAAGATTTCCGGAAAACCCGGAAACGAATTTTTCAGCTGTTTTAAAAAACGTCAGATTTGACGTATAAGTCATTTATTTAACGCAAATACACGCGCGACAGCGCGAATTTATGCGCGATAGCGCAAATGTACGCGCGCGAGCACGAATTCAAAAAATGTTGGTTGTTTTTTAAAATGAGACATTCAAACAAAAAATATTCGGCTATTTCCGGAGTGTCATCGGTAAGTTATTTTTTTAAATATTTTAAACTTTTCACACTTTTAATTCAGTCGTTGCACATAAAGTTTATAACCACATATGCGCGATAGCGCAAATACATGCGCGATAGCGCAAATACATGCGCGACAGCGCAAATACATGCGCGATAGCGCAAATACATGCGCGACAGCGCAAATGTACGCGCGCGAGCCCGATTTCACAGGATTTTGGTTGTTTTTTAAAATATAAAACTATTTGGACATTTTTTTCAAAAATTCGTCAATTTTAAAAAAAAAAAATTAAATTCCCTTTTTGATGCAGACAATATAATTTTAGCAAGACAATGTATATGACATTAAAAAAAGACATTTTTATGACAAATCTTTTGGTGAAAGCAGCATAGGTGTATCTTTATTTGTTTTCGAGATATGATTTTTTTTAATTCAAAAGTTGTCGGTTTTTTATTTAATTTTCAGTTTTTCGGTGGAAATCTTTATTTTAGCAAGATCATCGATACGACATTAAAAAAGACATTTTTATGGCGAATTTTTTGGTGAAAACCGCGTAGGGTTATCTATGTTAGTTTTCGAGATATGATTTTTTTAAATTAAAATTTAAGAAACGTCAAAATCTGACGTTTCTTCCATGTACATTTTTACTTCTATAACTCGCTTAATTTAAGGCCGAGAAAAAATTCCTGCACTAAATTTGTGTAAAATAACTTCCTTTGAAAGACCAAAAAGAAAAAAATCAAAAATTTTGAAAATTACGGAAAATTATTTTTTAGGCATTTTTTCCAAATGAAATACCCGTTTTTATGCGTTTTTGGGCATAACTCGGTCAATTTTGGACCGATCGGGCTGAAATTTTAAACGTTTGCTCTCACACGGACACCAGTGAGGCCGGTAATGTAAAACCGGAAGATTTCCGGAAAACCCGGAAACGAATTTTTCAGCTGTTTTAAAAAACGTCAGATTTGACGTATAAGTCATTTATTTAACGCAAATTTAACGCGAATTTATGCGCGATAGCGCAAATGTACGCGCGCGAGCACGAATTCAAAAAATTTTGGTTGTTTTTTAAAATGAGACATTCAAACAAAAAATATTTGAGGAGTGTCATCGGTAAGTTATTTTTCTAAATATTTTAAACTTTTCACACCTTTAATTCAGTCGTTGCACATAAAGTTTATAACCACATATGCGCGATAGCG